GGGTGATCAACATCTGCTTTCATGTAACTTTTGGAAATTAGTTCTGACACCAAGGGTATGCTGAATTTTGGTTTATTTTGCTTGTAACAAAGTCAGTATACTCTGTGATATGGAGTGTTTGCAGCGGTTTTGAGTGAACAACTGTTTCTGCCAGTGATTCAGATGTCATTTGCGGTTAGACGGTGGTTTTAAAAGCGCGAATGACTAAGAAGAGAAGGAAGGGACAGGACAGAGCGCTCTGTCCTGTCCCCTCCTTCTCTTCTTAGTCCTTTGTGCTTTTAAAACCACCTTCTGGATGTTCAACCAACTAGCCCCCCAATTAATTCTGATGTCATTTGCAGTTATCGTCTTCCGCGAATGACGTTAAATACATCAGAATACTCAAGGGCTCTGCGTTTAGCATGATACATATTCTTATCTTCTTACATCAAGCTCGTAGAGCAAGCTCTGCGATGTGCGCTAGGACAGGTGCGCAAACGTTTTGAGCCTGGGACTCCTAAAAGTTTTAACGCCCTCCGGCAACCCCCACACAAAAACCGTATTTCATAACTTGAGCCCCCCCCCCCCCCCCCTTTCCAAAGAAAAAAGTAGACCAAAAGAAACAAAGACAGTATGTACAAAATAATAGTTTCCGCAACAAAGCGACATGCAAGATCATCAGGGCCACGGGCAATCCTTGCGATTACGGCAATTAGTAAAATTTCGGAAGAGGCTTGCTGACGTCTGGCCCCCATGGAGACGTGACCACAGCTAGCTCAAAGCGATGCTTATCAAGTGAGCAGTTGAGCTTTCTCATTTTGACCGTGGTAGTGCGTTGACGAGAAGGCAGAATTTCGACAGCACCGTTCGACGCTTCTCGCACTGCACCTTCAACGAAACGGTTTCCAATCGGTCGTCAGCAGCTCACATTCTCTTTGTGCACTCTTAGAAAAAAGGGTCAGTATAGTCCTCCCTAAAGGGAGGAACGCTCTTGACACATATGTTCCTTCAGAAAGGGAGAAACTTTCGTCCCTTAAGCAGGGGAGGAAAAGTTCCTCCGTCGACTGCATCTCATTATGGCGGCCACGAATCGAGCAAATCGAGCTCGGTAAGGCTTAACGAGAACACTTAGTCTATTGCACGAAGCGAGAGGAGCAGGAAATAAAAACGTAACACGAGCTTTCCGCGAACTGTATTTATTTCCGAAGTTTCTTTACCCCTGCAGGTAAAGAAACTTACGTTTCGAAAGCATGCAGTCACTCAGTCTTCTCATCGTCAGCACTGCGATGTTCAACGGAGACAACCGGCACTCAGTTCGCGCACTTTATGTCCTACCTTTGCTATTCCTCGAGCCACAATTCCTTCGTCAAGCGTTGCCTCAACCGCACATCACGGAGGAGTGAAAATCATTCGCCCGCAAAACCAAAAGCCGCTCTCAAAAATAAGCAAATCCGAAGCAACCTCTTGGCTTATCTCAACACGGTAACACGAAATTATGGCGTAGCCGCGTAGCGTAAAAGGATGTTAAATCGCTTGCCACCAGATGGCAGGGTCAAGCAGAGTAATCGCACGTAGCTAGGCTAGGTGGCGCTAGGTACCGCCCAATTCATGTTTTACAAAAAAATATTTTTATTTCCTTACGCCACAATTACGTTTCCTTTTCTTCGGAATCTCTAACACATGTAGACACGTTGCGCACACTACAAACATCAGGTCAACATATATTGAACGCATACACAGGCATCGCACATACAATCATCAATACAACAGCACACAACCCCGATCACTACTACCGAGCCCTGCGTTTCCGTCTTTTATAGTGGTCGTTTTGAACGTACGGAATTTTTCGGTGACTCCCTAAGCAAAAAAAAATATTCCGAACATGTTCATTTCTTTCCAGCAATGTCATACATCTGAGGCTATTTTTAATGGCTCAGGGGATGAATCTCTTATTAAAAAGAAGACGCTCGATCATGCCATAATTATTTGAAAGCCAATAAATCGAGCCGCTCCAATGTGGTTCCAAGCCATGAGTTCGTTTTCCCGCATGGCCCTTCGTAGCCAGTATTTATATTGTAGTGTTCGTTTTTCTATTTGTGCTGTTCGCGCAAAGCTGCAATTGCCGTCTTGAATTAATCTCTGTAGAGCGGATATCCACTCAGCTGGAAGTGATGCTTCACGGGCACAGAAATCGCTTTTCGATCAACTTGAATGCAGTCAAAGCCGCGACTTGCGACAACTGTTAAGTGTACGGAGCTGCGCCGTTGCGAGCTCGAAAACTTCTAGCGCTCATGCCAGCGCGCCACTTAGAGGGCAGTTTCTACAGGAACCGTAATATATTTAAACAGTAAAATAAAGGATAGCGTTTTTTGTTTTTTTTTTATTTTGCCTGTCTTTTTTTTTTCATGCTAAACTTCCATTATAAATATACGTACTTTCCGTCATACTTTCGTAGTGTTGTCTTTTCCCCAGAGCGCAATCGCTCTCGGGGACCGACAGTCACATTGGCCACTGTACGATAGGAGCTTACCGTTCAGACCAGCGTTCCAACATGACTATCCACACGTCGATCGACTGCACCTAATCCCTCAAGTGGTTTTAAACTCTTTAATGTAAAGCGGAATGTGATCCTGCGACACCCCGGCCCCTCCGATAACGGCCCGACCAGCGGCATCAATGCCCGACAGTTTACGTCATCTCATCTTGTTGTTACACCACTGATACGCGAACACACGGTCACATCGGCGATAATTCCAGTCTTCTGTTCACAACCCACGACACTGCCATCACGATGTCGCTGACACGAAGAAATACAGAACCACGTTGACGATGTTGCTGACACGCAGAAGAATCACGTTGAACGCCGGTTGGCACTCGGCAGGGGACAACGGAACCAAACTCAGCACGGAAGGCACCCAGGCAGCCGGCAGGAAAACCTGCCTTCCTTGGACGCGTTGGACGCAGTTCCCGCGATTTCCATAACGTCGAAAACGTCGACACAGTTCCTCGTGGTTTCGCTGCTGTAGTTCCGCGTGTGTCCCGCAAATCGGAGACGGCCGTCTTACCCAGTGTATGTAGCGCTGCTGGCACTGCTCCGGAACTTCGCTGTTTCTAGCGGCTTCGTTAGCTCGTTTGATAAAATTAGTGGTAAAAACGTCAATGCAACCGAAATGTTCTGCACGTTTGGACTAGAAGACAAAATTACAGGCGGCCTTCGCTGCCGCTGAAGCTCAATCAACTCAACATTAATTTATTAAACAACGTGCGCGATGTGCTCGAAAAACGAAACCGAAAGAAGATGAGTCGGGAGGGCGAAAGCTTTCTCCGGTCTGCCTGGAGGAGGAAAACGTCTCGGAGAATAATAAGGACTTTAATTTTCCTTTCATCGATCTGGGTTTGTTTATGTGTGTTTTAATAAACAAAAAAAAAAATTTACAAAAAAAAAAAAAAAAAAAACTTTTCTGGGGATCGAACCGTTGACCACTTGGTCAGTAGCGCGATGTTCTACCCCTACGCCAACTGAACAAGGAGCAACTCGGCCTCCTCCTGTCATCTGAACTGCCGTTCCTCCCTTCTCTGGGCAACTTGTCCGCAACAAGGAGGAACAGTCGCTTTTGCTACCTTTCTCCTCCCTTTTTTCTTAGAGTGTGTCATCTCCCGATCCGTGACTATTTCCGTCCTCTCATAGACGCCTCAGGGGAACATAATTCCCTTTACATGATTTGGAGTCTTGTGAACGGTTCTTTTACTATATGTCAAATCGGGACGTCAAGGCAGGCACAACCACTGGACATTTCGTGCACTTTCTGAGCGTGACATGCAGTGGATGGAAGAAGGCTTGCTCGCCGAACTTCTAAGTAAAACATTTGAAGCGGTGTCAAAGCGTTGTCGGCACCTATTCAGCTGCAGGTGCGTTGCGACCCCCAGACATCGCCGGCTAGTGGTCAAAATAAAAAAAATTGGGAGTTTTACGAGCCAAACCAACGACGGGCATCTGGCACGCCTCAGCGGAGGACTGAGGATTAATTTCGACCACCTGGGGATCGTTTGACGTGCAACCGAAAGCTTGGTTACACGGCGCCTTCTCCGCAATAGGCCTCCGTCAGATTGCGGGCACCTCGGCCGGGATTCAAACCCGCCACATGGAGATCCGCCTCGGAGCCACCGAGGCGGCTGCCGGCTAGTGGTGATTCCTTTATCTCTACGCAATCGTGGATACAAGGCGCTGCTGCTGATCATCATTGTTTTCACTAATTGATCTTTTAGCACGCAGAAAGTGCGGAGACTTGTCGAGGTTGGCTGCAGACAGTTAGATGCTTGCGTTCAGCACGGTTGTTTCTTGCGCTTAGTCACCCGGTCAGCCAAGTCTTTTTAGATAAAATGTGTTGCATGTTGTCCCAAGTGTCTCTCTTAGCGTGAATGCGTTTCAATAAAACGGATTATGTTTTGCCACTGTGTGCATTTCATATTCCTTTTCGCGTAACACTCGCTTTCCCAAGCAAAAACGAAGAAGTCGCTTTCAAAGAGCAACTTGCAGGTCTGAAGATGGCGGTCCCTTGTCGCAAGTGTGAACGAGCCTGAAAAGCGTCAAGAGGCACCACACAGTTGTCATTACATGAAGCCATGCCAGTGCACCCGTTCTTAAGTTCTACGATGTGAAGAAACATAAGTAAAAGTATATGTTGCACTAGCACACAGAGAGGATTGATATATCAATGACAAATTTTATTCCCAAAGTAGACTATCAAGATGCTTTCATTCTTTAGAATTGTGCAAGATGCAGAATGAATTGAACAATTATTATGTACGCAAACTAGACATGTGTTGTTAAATATACTCGTACATGACATACCTGACATACATGCGCCCCAGACGTCGTCAAGCTGCCTTTGACAGCTTTTTGTGTGGGGCACCGTTGGCTATAAGGCCAATAATAAAGACTGATTGATTGATTGATTGATTGATTGACACACCTGACAGTGCACGGAAACACGTTGTAGCGGCTTAAAATTACATTTATCGTTTTTTTTTTTTTCAAATGCATTCCTGCGTTTTGGAAAAGGTAAATAACATTTTGCTCTCCCAGTATTCTTTATTTTGCATTGCATGAAGACGTTTAACAACAAATGGCATTCGCCCGGCTGCAAAAGAGTGAATGTTAAGAATCTTCCTGACTAAAAAGAGTAAGAAACAGTTGCATAACGAGTAAAATTTCATTCCAGGACGCTGGATGGTTTATAAAACGACCCGTGAAGCATTCCTGTAAAATAATTATCGTAGAACCAAGAAGGCAGCAAGCTGATGGCGACGTATGCGGCATAAAACTGTACCCTTGGCGACAAGGGACGAGCGAAAACTATTCCGATTGTTTCTTGCTGCTACCGTTTCAACGCAAGGCTTTTTTTTTTTTTTAAGTTATGGGCGAAAGAAACATATACACAAAAGAAGCGCATAACACTTCTTTCATTCCAAAGGCACGACGGCACAACTACGAGAATCGCACCTATGGTGGTGTCAACAAAAAAGTCCATCACTGCATGCCGACAAACTAAGATCTAGATGATACGCGAAATGGCATTAACGCTCCAATTCTAGTGTATAACTACTTTTTCAGCCGGGAACCCCTTTTTCGACCTCCTGACAGCAGGACAGTACGTGACAGAGTCCGCGCCGAACACTTTTCTAGTTGTGTGAGACATTTCCTGCCCACGATCGGCTCGACCCCTTCCCCAGCAACATCACGATAGGTATATTGCTTGAGGCGGTGATCGCGTCGTACCCAATAACAAGCAGAGAACTAAACATTTATTTTACTTTACACGTTACTGGTCTACCGGCACTGTGGAATGATCACCCTCTTGACCACCATGTTGGCGCGACCAGCGCGCCCCCTATATTCGCTGGAACTTGCGGATAGCTAGCCCGATTCCTTTGTTTACTGTCACCTCTCGCTCTCGCGAAGAATCTCATGCCCATAAAAAATCACGGGCGAGCTCCACCGCGCCTGTCTAACAAAAAAAAAAAAACTGAAAAACCAAGGCAAGGCAAATTAAGTTTTACTGTATAAATATACGCACACCAAATTTTTTCTGGCGAGAAATCCAGGCTTGGTACTGTGAATATGTTAACGGATGTTCGCCGATTGGCAAGCGGGGCGTATACCCTCCTCGACGTTGTTTACGTGGCGGTGTTCGAAGGGTCCCAGACTGGGGGAAAATGTCGGCATCGGCACTGGAGACGTTGGAGGAGTCAACAAGTGTACACACCAACGGGGAATGGGGCCTTCGGCACCGGCCACATGGAGGCAAAGCCAAAGGTTTCCCACAATAGTCCCAGAAACTAAAGTGCTCCTCTTGGTCAATGGTGAAAGATGGATAAATACGCTTCATATAGCTTTCCAGGGCAGTAAACGTCTCATTGCAATGCTACACAGGGGATTTCCGAATACTTCAAGATCGTATTGGAACGCATCCAGCGTTCCGTTTTCTTGCTTTGTCGAAAGCTCAGTCTCCTGCAAAGCGAGAATGCTCTGCTTTTGATGGATATATATAAAGCCTCTTCATAAAATTCACCCTTCAACAATATGTACAAAACGTGTTTGCTTCATACAAATTACGCTACTATTTAGCAAAATCGTGAAGCATTCCACATTTTTTCAACGAACTGTATGGACGCTGCCTCTGTCCCTTGAAGACAGCATTGTTTTGATGAATTTTGGTAATATATCGTAAAAACGACCAGCATCGAAGAAACGTAACTTCTTCCAGCAATACATTGCAATTAGATTGTACAAGATCTAGAATGTACTAGTACACTCTAATTCCAGTCACGTATGGTATGAACAAATGAACTAAATGGTTTGAGCAAAAACGGTTGCCGCCGAAGGCACGCACCAAAGGTTTTCGCCTTTTCTTCGCTAAGGAATTAATTCAGTGAAGAAAACAAATATCACGAAATCATACAGTAGCGCTTCAATGTTTAAAATTCGCAGGTTAAAAGAAAAGTTTAAACACTTGTTCCAGCTTCCAAGAGGTGCTCTAAGAAGAATCAGCGCTCCGTCTTTTTATGGCCTCAATTCGATCTACGTGTTTCATGGGTCCCATAAATTAAATAACTGTTGGTGTGCGGGGTACGCCTTGACGAAGAAATTCGTTCAAAATCGAACTTCTTACGAGACTGACAAAGGCCAGGGAATCGAGGAACAGGAAGGGATTAGCGGAGCGTCATGAGATACGTTTGGGGCGCACTGAGGGCATATAAAACCGATTAAAGAAGCAAAGATTCTGCTGGTTTGGGGTGACCTATTGCTACTGAACAATCTACGTTTAGAGTATCGCCACGCTACTCCTGGGGTTTCTTGTGGGTGCCGCCATTTTAGAGCTTAGTGCAGAGCGGGCGTAATGATTTAAAAATGCGACTACACGAGCATTAGGTATAGCTGAACATAAGCAGAGAAAGCGACATGCACTTAACACAGAAATGCGCGAATTCTTGCGCTGATTTGTTCTCTGCACATTGGGCACTGGTCCACTTTGGTGGCACAGTCGACGCAAGTGACGAGGTGCTGGCACGGCATGAACAGCACCGACTTCTGGTCCCCGAGACACACTGCACAGGAGTTGTCCACCTGCTTTTGAGTCGGCTTTTTGTCCACTGAAAGAAAAAAACAGCGGAGAACGCTTAGCGTCACTGCGAATTGATCTGTAGAACCTTCATAATGAGAGGTTCTATCGTCAGAGACATGGACAGACGGCAGCGAGGGAAAAGAGAGATTTTAATGATCTTGAGGATTTGTTTTTGAAGCATGGAATGCTTCTCATCCGAGCACCTACTGGCGACTCCAGCAAAATCCACGGCACCTAGCGGCTCGAACAGAAACCTATTGTGGCAGGTTCCCTCTCCAGTCTTCTCAGGCCAATCATATATTCACAGCGCCTAGGGGTCTAAGGACGGAACCGAGAAAATAGGTTCGAAAACACGCGATGAAAATCTCCACTACTCGGCGTGGACTATCATGTGCTACGTCGCAAAGGCTCTTCCGCAGTGCTGCAGTTCTCCCCCCCCCCCCCCCCCCCCCCTCACTCTCCCCCCTCTTGCTGCGAGGGTACGTGGCTTTGTCGTGCTACTCATACGCACGCGCTCGTGCAAATATCATGCACCTTTAGAGCAATACAAGAGCTATGCTATACTCCGTTCAGCCTTAAAGGTGCACTAAAGATGCGCGTCAGCCACCTTTAGTGCGCGTCAGACATTTGGTTGACGCGCAACCGTCGTTACGCCGCCGGCGCCTCCGCTGGATTCTATGCTCGAGGTTTTTCCGCTGAGAAAGGGGCGTGGGACGAACTTCGATCACACTTTTAGTAGGGAAATCGACGTGGCACAAGCGTGATCTTTGGATTTCTAGGATGCTTGGAGCCCGTAAGATAAGTATATCACCATGAACAGACGATCTCAGAAACGTCGCTAGTGCACCTTTAAGCTGAGACCAGGAGCTCCGCCTTTAGGGCGAGCTCACATGCTTCGCAGTGCTTTGGTTACGCGTCCTGCGTGCGCCTGCGCGTTCACACTTGTGTTATCAAGGGCAGAAAGCTCGCGCTGAAGGCAGAGCTTCTAGTCTCAGCTGAACGGAGTATAGCCTTGACAACGTTGCACGAAATAGTTGACGTATAATCCTGGACATTTCTGCCTCCGTCCGGCTGCGCATTTCCCCACCAAATTCGGCGGGTAAAATGACGTCATGTTGCGTCAGGGTGTCACGTGACTTGACACAACGACCAACGTTATTAGGTTAGGTCAGTTGTGGAACTCCCGCGGAGGCGATAACCCCCCCCCCCCCCCCCTCCCCCCTTTCGTCGCTCACTTCAATCCGCCTCCCATCTTTTGAAGCGCCGTCTAGATTGTCGTTGCAAAACTGTGCACTCCATAGAGTACGGTGAAACGCAATCTAGATGGTGCGCATCGAGATATATGCATTCCATAGAATACATTGCAGTTACCATAGCGGCCGTCTCACAAAACGGTGGCGTGTTGAACTACGGGAGGCTAGAGCCGTTTTGGTCAATGGGAGGGGCCGGCGGGAGCCGAGGTGGAATATGCGGCGCTTGCGGCGCCACCACCAGCGTCGCATATTTCCTCCGTGATGATACTGCGAAGTAAAAATATCCGAGATGACCTTGAAGGTGTCGCGTACTGCGGGACAGGTATTTTTTTTGTTTCTGAATGAGGCTGAAACTATATGAATGGATAATTGTAAGAGATTGAGGAAATAGTGAGTTTCGTGATACTGAGTGCGTTTACTGAGCCAGAAAAGGTGACATTAGGGAGTTTTCGTAGATCGTTTTCGCCGTCCCGCAAGGCCCTCCGCAATCCGCTAAGATAGCGGGAACTCCACTGTCAAGGCTATCGGGGCGCAGGTGCAGTTTCTTTGTTGCGGAACGCTTAGCGGAGGGAGCAACGTGGTCAACGAAAAACATGAATCGAAACTGCGAACGTGGGGTGTACATTCGGTGTTGGGGTCAAAATTCCCGTGAAGCCTTGTCCACGGTTTTCACCGTCCACTCGGTCGTGGCCGCGGCTGCGTCTGCGATCACAAGAGAGATGGAGCTCATTCTGAACGTCGCCGTGACGACTTATGCGCGTTGTCACTTCAGTTACGGAGGTTTGCAAACATCAACTCCAGCGTGCTGAAATGAAATGCTTGAACACATCCTTACCTTCAAATCGTGATTGGAAGAAATCAGTTAAACTTATTGCCTCTGCCAGGGGAATATTTGTGGCTAGTGCGGTAGGTGGGGTTGATTGACAAGAGCTGTCAATCAACCCGCCCAAGGTCATTTAGAGAATTTCTGTCAATGACATGCCCTTAATTTCGCCCTATTCTTGCCAATTAATGACCGAACTTTCTACATATACGGATCTGCAGGAAGCTAGGCATAGGGGAAGAGGGGTGTACTGCTCGTGCAAAAAAGCAGCGACTATCGGGGGTTCCGTAACTGAGTTAATTAAGTAACGTTGACCGCAACCAAAGTTTGTCCTTTGTCGCACTTCTTCCATTTCTCCAGGGATTATCGCTATTATTGTCCAGCTCGCTTGCACTTTTGAATTAAATGCATAATTATCATGATAACCTTAAAATGCAGGCTGTTCACCCTTGTTGGTGTTAGACTGGTGGCATCTGTTAAAGACTGGTCGCTCTACTGACGTCTCACTCCTGGTTAGCTCAGTTGGTAGAGCGCTCCAGTGGAAATAGAGAGGTCCCTGCTTCGGGACCAGGCGAATTTTTTCAGTCGCGCACCAGTTACCTAGGGGTGTTTGGAGATTTGCGTTTGTCCCCTAGGTTCCCCGTCTCCAGGGAGTATTATTATAACTATTCTCGCTGCACCTTTGCATTAACTGCGTTATCAAAGTATGTTTCGAAGCACAGCGTCTAGATGGCGTTTCACTGTACCCTCTGGAACACAGTTTGAAAACGAAACTCTAGATGGCGCTTCAAACGACGGAAGGCCCAACAGTGTGTTGGGTGGAGCCCAACAGTTAACTGATGGGCTTCACCCAACAGTTAACAGTGACCGGGCGGATTTAATCAAAGCATTGGGTTTTAAAGACAGTGGAGGAAAAATAGACTTTACACGGGTAGAAATAACCAAGCGGAGCCTTATCAGACTGGTGGCTAAAATCGAGGCAGGGGTGAGATTTAATCTTGGAATTCAAAACATATAATTAGATTTATAATGTTGGCTAGGTGGCGCAAGCCACCGCCCGATTCACAGGGTTTAGCCAGATCCATCCACCCATCCATCCATCGGCGGATTAAAGGGAGGGGGGCGGGATTTGAGCCCTAGAACGTATTTTCGGCGTATTCACGGGCGTTTCAGAGGACGTACGAACGCCTCTTCGACTACTCAAGGTCAGCGTAAATACACGCTTATTCGGCGATCCGACCGAGACAGATTTCAGCGCTTTTGCGTATTTTCGCGTGGCGTATCCGGAAGTGTATGGCGCGGTGCCGACCAACCAGTTCGCGAGCTGACAGCCGGAAGTTGCTGAAGCATTGATCGGCTTGCCTTGCTTTGTGGCCGGCTGGCTGACTTGACTCAGCCGCCAAAATGGGCGCTAGCTTGTCGCGTTCAACGATTTATCGGCGAACTCTAAGAAATCGCATATCTCTTTCGAACAGCCGATGAACGACTGAGTCAGAAGAAAAAAAAAACATTTAAGTGGCGCGCGATAAGAAAAAAATTTATAAAAGGACGGGTTTTCTGAGCAGAGCTCGCCGCCGGGCCCCTGCCGGGACTTGTTAGTAACTTGGCTAGTGCAACGTACATTTTTGAGACAACAGTTAGCAAATTAGGCTTTCGTGGCTAATTCACATTTCGTTTTCTTTTGTCCTCTTGCGGAACGCGATAATATAGCAGCCGATCTACATTTTGCCACGTTTCATGAAGAGCGCGTGTCGGGCCACACTACACCAAACGCCAAGAAGACGTCGACAAAAACCGCTGTGTGTGGTTTGGCGACCTTCCCCTCTTCTCTTTGTAAAAATAACGCCCACCAAATGCTGTGATTATCGCCGCCGAAACGTGCGAAGATGTGTTGAGAATTAAAGCGCTGGATGGGTTTTATAAACAAGTATCGCCAAGCTGGTGCATGCATGGGACGCACTTGAGCCAAAAATGGCGGAGCGTCGCCGCCAACCTAGTTTGGCACGGCGGCGCGCCACCGGCATCTTCAGTAGACCAATAGGAGCGTGCTTGCAAACGCCGGCGCGTCACCAACACCAACAGGAGACCAATAGGAGCGTGCTTGCAAACGGCGGCGCGTCACCGGCAGCCGCAGGAGACCAATTGGAGCGTGCTTGGAAACGGCGGCGCGTCACCGACAGCCTGAGGAGACCAATTGGAGCGTGCTTGCAAACGGCGGCGCGTCACCGACAGCCGCAGGAGACCAATTGGAGAGTGCTTGCAAACGGCGGCGAGTCACCGACAGCCGCAGGAGACCAATTGGAGCGTGCTTGCAAATGGGGGCGAGTCACCGACAGCCGCAGGAGACCAATTGGAGCGTGCTTGCAAACGGCGGCGAGTCACCGGCAGCCGCAGGAGACCATTTGGAGCGTGCTTGCAAACGGCAGCGCGTCACCGAGAGCCGCAGGAGACCAATTGAAGCGTGCTTGCAAACGGCGGCACGTCACCGACAGCCGCAGGTGACCAATTGGAGCGTGCTTGCAAACGGCGACGCGTCACCGACAGCCGCAGGAGACCAATTGGAGCGTGCTTGCAAACGGCGGCGAGTCACCGACAGCCACAGGAGACCAATAGGAGCGTGCGCGTCTGGATGATACGCCATGAGCCGAAAATGGCAACGCTTCGCCGGCGTCTTCTGGACTTAAAGGGTCTAGTAAGCGGGCTCACGTCCAGTTAAAGACTGGCGAATGGTGTTCATGGGACGCTGGGACGTTACGTGACGTCATGATACGACCCGACGTTATGACGTCACGTGGAACAATGATGTCACGCGACACTTAATCCCTCTAAATTTGGCCGAAAAATTTCTCACTGATTTTGGCGAGAAACTTTCTTCGCTAAATCTAACGGCTAAACTGAGACGTCGTGACATGACGTCACGTTGCACGGTGACGTTGCAAATTTCCGACACGAATTTCCCGCTAAACTTAGCGAATAATTTTTCCCGCTAAGTTTAGCGGGTTGCAAACAGACACGGGATCCACGTACGAAACTAAAGTATATCGCCTTAAAGAAAAAAAAACACTAATAAGCTTGAGTAAGTTTCAACGTGCCCTGTATCTCTTCCTTCTTGATTGTGGTGACAACTTTGAGGGCCTCTTCAATTTGGCGTTTCTCCTTGATGTCACCGATGGTCAGGCCCTGATCCAAGAGATGCGTGACAGCTTGTCGGAATTTGTTCTGCCCAATCCCGACCTTTCTGTAGAACTCCAGAGTCGACTCATCAAAAATTTCAGAAATGAGCTTGTCTTTCACCTCGTCGGTGTTCGTTGTCACAGGGTCTGTCTGCAAAGATAAAAATAAAATAAAATTGAAACAATATTTGTTCCGAATTTTGATCTGGCATTAAAAAAGTCATATTGCTTTTAAAATCTGACAAAAAGCTACATAGAAATATGTCAAATTCAGAATATTATTACGCAAGAAGTATGTTTAGAATATATCATGATTGAAGTGGGATATACCTGCATTATTTATGTGTAATTTTTTTATTGTTAGGCGGACGCTAGGGTGAAAGGCGGCCGCACACGTCTTCGTCAGAAGACGTGTACGGTCGCCTTTCACAAAATAAAGATGGAGCGTCGAGACAGAAGAAAAGCGGGCGGCGATTTGGCGGCGTTATAGCAAGCGAGAGCGGGACTGATTAGGCGAGGTCATACTGGCCTCCTGATCTTTTCCGCTCGGGGTAACAGTATAAACCTTTGTAAACAAACATCGCCTTCTGCGCGCTACCATTTTGGTCTGCTGGGCTCTGGAACGCCTTTTGAGCATGCGCTGTTTCTTTGCTGTGCGGTATACCAGACGCTGCGCATGCGTCCACAGCTCGGTCACTCAGCCTTTTTCTCCCAAGTGATACGCGACGCAAAGGTCTACGCAAACCTTCTAGATGAACCGAGAAGCGTATCGGCATTATTCCTCCATTTAAAAGTGCATCGCCCCGATGTAACGCAATACAAAACAAAATAACTCTAGGCTTAACATGTTCGCTAGAAAACGAAAAGTCCCCAGTGCTACCTAGCGTAGAACAGATTGAGTCCAACGACGTGAACCACTTCGGGTTGTGGTGGGGTCATGATGATGTTTGCATTCCATCCGGCATCACTTCGTAGTTGAGCTCCACAAGGTGACGAAATATATTGTACGGTCCGAAGTGACGTTTCAACAGTTTTTCGCTGAGGCTGCGGCGAAAAAGGGTGTCCACACCCACACCCTGTCCCCGGGCAGAAAGTGAACGTCTCGACGACGAAGGTTGCAGCGGCCAGCGTCGACACACTGCTGTTCTTGAATCCGGAGTCGGGCGAGCTGGCGGACTTCTTCAGACCGTTGAGCAGCCACTTCGTCGTCGCTCCAATTGTCAGCTGGCTCGTCGGGCAGCATTGCGTTCAGCGTGGTCGTTACTTTCGGACCATGTACCGGCTGGAAAGGTGTAACTCCAGTGGATTCTTGATCGGCCGTGTTGTAGGCAATTGTGACGTAGGGTAAGACTTCGTACCACGTCTTGTGCTCCACGTCGACGTACTTGGCGACCATGTCGGCGATGGTCTTGTTTAGCCGTTCCGTCAGTCCGTTCGCCTGCGAATGGTACGTTGTCGTTCGACGATGACTGACGGGGTTGAGCCGGAAGATCTCTTGAAAAAGCTGTGCCAAAAACGACGACCTTCAGTCTGTAACCAGTACTGGCGGCACTGTTCCTGAGGACGATAGATTGGATGAAGAACTTCTCGACTTCAACTGCAGTGCCCGATGGAAGGGCTTTGTTCTCGGCATACCTTGTGAGGTAATCGGTCGCGACGATGATCCACCGGTTCCCTTACGTCGATGGTATAAATGGTCCAAGCAAGTTCAATTCGACCTGCTGGGACGGCATAGTCGGGGGAGTGATCGACGTCAGGAGTCCTGCCGGCTTAGTAGGTGGCTTCTTGCTTCGTTGGCATTCGCGATACGATCGGGCGTAGATGTGGACAGTCTTCAAAAGCTTAAGCCAGTAGTACTTTTCTTGAATTCTTGCAAGTGTTCTGCTGTAGTCCAGGTGCCCCGCTGTCGGATCGTCATGGAACATTTGGAAGACTTCCGCTTGAAGACTCGCAGGGATAACCCGCAGCCACCTCGAGTTGGTGCCGCCGAAGGTGTTTTTGTACAGTACACTTTCTCGAACAACGAAGGTTGTCAGGACTCGTGTGAAGACACGTGGAACTGCGCTCCCTCGCCCTTCCTGATGCCCGATAGGTGCACGCAGCTCAGGATCGTCTCGTTGAAGTGTTGGCACGTTGTTCACGGTCACCGCGCCGACAAATACGTCGTCGTCGTCACTGTCGTCGGTGCGCTCAGTCACTGCGAAGGGTGCCCTCGACAAACAATCAGCGTCGCTGTGCTTGCGGCCACACTTGTAGACCACACTCACGTCGAATTCTTCAAGTCGAAGACTCCACCGCGCGAGACGTCCTGAGGGATCCTTGAGGTTTGCGAGCCAAGAAAGCGAGTGGTGGTCTGTGACCACTCGAAACTGGTTTCCATACAGATACGGGTGAAACTTGCCTATCCCCCAGACGACAGCAAGGCATTCCTCCTCGGTCGTTGAATAATTGCTCTCTGCTTGGGACAGCGTCCGACTGACGTAGACATTTACTATTTCTGTGCAGTCCTGCAGTTGGACGAGCACCGCGCAAAGTCCTGTATTACTCGCGTCCGTGTGAATTTCGGTGGCTCCAAGTTGGTCGAAGTGGAAGCGAATCAGAGGCGTCCATGGGGTCTTCGTTTGAGCTCGTCGAAGACCCGCTGTCGTTCTTCTGTCCACTCGAATTTGACGGCATCATTGGAAAGGTATGTCAACGTCGCGGAGAGTTTGGCGAAGTCCCGAGCGAAGCGTCTATAGTAGGCGCAAAGCCCATAAAATCTTTGGACCCTCTTTTTGTCCGTTGGGGGCCGGGGGGGGGGGGGGGGGGGAAGTACTCGAAGGACGTACTCGCAGGGTCAGGCCGTGCACCTAGACATAACGTAGAAATTTCAGTTCACCATAAACGAACCGGCACTTCGTCGTCTTCAGTGTCAGTCCGGCGGTCTTGATGGCTTGAAGCACGGTCCGAAGTCGCCTCAAGTGTTCGTCAAAGTCGCTTGAATATACCACGACGTCATCGAGGTAGGCGAGGCAGCTTTTTCATTTAAGGCCAGCCAGCGCGGTGTCCATAACGCGCTGAAATGTTGCCGGTGTTGTGCATAGTCCGAAGGGCATTACTTTAAATTCGCACGGTCCGTCCAGCGTAACGAAAGCTGTCTTATCGCGATCTTGTTTGTCGACTTCAATCTGCCAGTAGCCGCTCTTCAAGTCCATTGACAATAAATATCGGACGTGGCGCAGCCGATCTAGGGTGTCGTCGAGTCGGGGAAGCAGGTAGACATTTTTCTTTTTCACGACATTTAGTTCACAGTCCACACAGAACTTCAGTGTTTCGTCCTTCTTCTTTACAAAGACAACTGGGGACTCCCATGGACTACCTTAATGTTGGATAATGTTGGCGTCGAGCATTTCCTGAACCTGTTCTTGTATCGCCTCCCTCTCTTTTAAAGAGACCCGATACTGCGACTGGTGAATAGGCAGTGCGTCGTCGTTAGTAACGATGTGCTGCTTTGCTACCGTCGTTTGTCGCACCCTTGGGGATGTCGCGAGGCACTCGCTGACCTCGCAGAGAAGTTCAACTAGCCGTCGCCGTGCTGAAGTGTACAGCTCGAGGTCGACGTCGAGATGCGATGGCGGCGTGCTGTGTGACTGTAACGGCGAAGGTCCCTCGGAGACTGCGGTAATGGCGGCTGACGCTTGAAGTTGCTCGACGTAGCCCACGGCGGTACCCTTCGTTAGGTGCTGCGACACCTGTCGAAAGTTCGTCACGAGAACAGTTGCATGTCCTTCTCGGATATCCGCGATGTCTCGTGAGACGCCAGTTCCTTTTCCCAGGAGCAGTTGAACGCTGCCCTCCGGAAGAATTTCCCCGCAGACGACTGCATCAATCACGACGTACACAAGAAGACTCGATCGCGGCGACATTTTCGCGTGGTCTGAATGACTCGGACGGCGGCTTGCCTCGTTTTGGATCCCTCCGGAGGTAGGATGGGCTTTCGCAGCGTCAACCTGTTTGCTCCGAAATCGATTACGACACTGTATTCACACAGGAAGTCCTGTGTGAATACAGTGGACCGACGACCCATCTGCAACCACTGCGGTGAAGCGGACCATGTTTACCATCGATGCCCATACCGACAACTGGGGCTGCGCGGGTTCCACCCGAACGACCGCTCCCAAGATACGGCGAACGCCCTCAATACATCGAGGAGTACCTCGACATTCGCCATCCTCAGCACCGTGGGCAGCATAGTCCTTACTTTCTGACCGTGTGCCAGCTGGAAAGGCGTAACTCCAGTAACCATCAGCATTACCGTCAGAATTCGGGAGCATCTGCAATCTGTATGTCACGTACACCTGAAAAGCCTCGTCTTGATACAGGCGAGTCATTTTACTACTAATACTATGCATTTTCGGTTATGTAAGACTGGTGGAAGACGATACCTAAAAGAATCCTAAACGAATAACTTTCCTTCGCATGGTTCGTTCTAAGTATTGTTATATATACTCACGTTTTGAAAATTGCGTCAACACAGGCACTTTTCTAACTTTTTTTGTGTAGCCTTCAGGTAACTTGTCGCACCAAACATCAATCTAGGAATCCATCACGCGTGTCCGGGCTATCATAAGAAGATGACATTCCGCATAAGTTTGGTCGTGCACTCTGCCATTCTGGGGTTCCCCTACACCAGGCAGACGAACCCATTGGCGGACTATTTCAAAACAAGTGCCCGACTGCACGCACAATGACGGCAAGTGATCAGCTCTACCGGAAATACACGCTTGAGGTTCACGAAAAAGACATCGCAATGAGATGATATGCGGTGAAAGGACGTCCAATCTCCATCACCGTTGATGAAACGTCAAAACTCCGTTGTGGTCCAGCAGCAGCAGTATACTAGCAACGTACTACGACGACGAAATTCCAATCCGTAGGACTTTGATGTTAGACTTGTAAGTGCTCCAAACAGTGCAACACAGTGTCATTTGGCATCCTGATACAAGCAGCTCTCCAGAAAGTTGGGAAGACCTTAGTCGATGTAGCTGTGTTGTGTTCCGATTCAGCCCCCCCCCCTCCCCCCTCCGCCCCCTCCCTTGTACAGAAGTTTCACAAGGACTTGGAACTCTCCAGCGCCGAATTCAAGGCAGTTGTTCACTTTAAGGATACATGCCACCTTCTCAACAACATTCTTGATAATGGACTTGAGGCGGGCTTATTTAATTCCGTTCACGAATTTGTCGTGCACTTTCCAGCCGCGTTAAAGTCGTCTCGCCGTAAGTTCGGTCTAGTGTGCCGTACACGTTCATATAATGTCCAATTTGCTTAGAGAAGTCAAGTTCTTTAAGAAAAAAAATGTAATGTATTAAAAAAGAGAATTAAGAACCGACACAATAAAACTTGATTCAGGCGTCATTTGGCCTGTAAACTCAAATAGAAATCTACTTATATGTTCGATGATGACGGGCGTCTTTTAAACGGGTTATGTTGTCAAAAAAAAAAAAAACAACCTAAAATCCTAGACAAAAAAAATGCAATAATGTTCGCGGCTTCCCCGAAAATTTGTAAGAGCAACAAAAGTAATATGATAAATTAAAGTAGCGGGGTTGGAATTGCAAGTTTCAGCGAAGCTGCCCCGTGTGCTGCCAGCTTGCTGACCCAAGCTGCAATATGACTGACAATTAAATTTTCCTTTCCCCTCAACTTGCTGAGTTAATTTGTTCAATGCTAAACCACAAATTAATTGGAGTTGCATAGCTTTATTTCTAAAGCCAGGACTAAAAGAATTAGCCTTTCTTTAAGCTTAGTCATCACATACGCTTTTTGAAGGGTTTAGACAGCTGCAGTGAGGCAATGGATGTCCGCAGTTCTGGTGATTTTCTGCGTTATTTCAGAGGTTTTTTTTTTTTTTTTTTTTTTTTTCTTGTAAGAAAAAAAAATTAATACATCTACCACGAAATATTCTGGGCGTCCATCTTTATATTTTTCACAAATGCCAATCATGTGGAGGGCAGCTCGAGAGGTTCCTCTGGTATCGATCACACCGGTAATGCTCACCTCCATCAAGCACTCTTCCTGGAGGCTGCGAACGGTGTTGTAGAGGGCCGGTTCCATCGATAGTTTCACGAAGGTGCACTCGGGGTACCACCTAGCGTGCTCCACGAAAGGAATGTCGTCCTTTTGCCAGCTTCGCAAGGCTCCTCCGCAGTAGTAACATATGGCCATGTCGTCCTCGCCTGGATGCCATTACGGACAGGAAATAAAAACGCTTTAAGAAAAAGGGTCCTTAAGATGCCTTAAGAAACGTAAACCGCAGTATAGAATGCCGACGGGCATCCTGAACTACGTATGGTTTAGGATGCCCCATCGGGCACCCTAAGCGCAGTTGAAAAGGGTATGAGTCTCCTGAAGAAAATGGGGATCTGGACATTTCGGTGTACGGTCATTTCGGTACACGGATATTTCGATGCAGGGACATTTCTGTTTATGTTTGAAAATGAGTAGTTGAACCTCACAGCAGGCATTGCAGACCTTCGTGTACGTTAATCTTTTGATGCACGAAAGATGCACGATGTATTGAAGCTAAAGCGAGAGTACATTGATTAAAGATAGACGCAGAGTAACACGGGAATGGGGGGGATTTCAAATTTGTCTCTTGTTAGCTCTGTCTGACTTGGGCCATTCTGAAAAATATAGAAAATATAATCTTCAACAAATAAAATTCATTGTATCTCCGAACCAACAATAATACATTGGAAGTCGTTTGAGTGTACGAATAAATAGCTGAATACATTAGCAGTTGCGAAGGCATTCATTATGAGAAGCTAGATCAGTTGATACAATTTGCAAGAATGTAACGTGTTTCTCTAGCCTCATCTGCCAATGACGTGTGGACGTGACGGTGCCCGATGAAGAGCAGCTTCTAACCGGCATTATTTTTGTCAAAAGTGAAGCCGCTTTTTGAACCACCAGGTGGCACTGAATTCCATAAAGCGCCCTTGAAACTGTGGAGGCTATAGCGTTGGTTCACACTACAGTCCGTTGCAACTCAAGAAGGTAGGGCGAGGGAAAGGAAGCAGACGAAAGGCTAAAGAAAATAAGAGCAGACGAAAGGCTAAAGACACGAGGAGCTAGGTTTCCCCCTCACTTCTCGAGCGTTCCGCCTGCTTCCTCCTCCCCGGCCTTCCTTTCCCTTGCCCTATCTTCTTAAGTTGCAACGGAGTATTGTGTGTTTTAGTGTTAGCGGGCGCGCAGCGTTCCCTTGCAACCGCCTACAACGAGAAGACACTGTTACCACACTGGCTCGCTTGCGTCATTCATAAGGTAGTCCTGGAACACATCTGAATGGAGTATATTTTTATACTTTTTTTACGTATCTTTCTTTCACTGTGATCTTGAAATAGTTCTGACAATATTATAAGCAACCATTTCTCGTAAATATAGAGCGCAAATTCGATCTCGCAAATACTGCGAAGCGAGTTCAGTCTGGTATACGCGCGTATATTAAGCGTTTCCACGGCCACCTGATTATAGATGGCGCCAGCGTGCACGTATTTAAGTGTGTTCACTCATCACAAGCGCAGTTACAGTGAAACGCAACTGAGCCGAACACACTTAAACAAAAATATGTAAGCCAAGCCTTCAGACGCCGTCGATCCGTCAACAAATACACAGTTTTCCACACCAATATGTCCTGCTGTTTCTCTCTTTTTTATATATATATTTTGCCATCAGTGATGCGGCGGTTTATAGCCTTGAACGAGTAAACAAATTGACTTTTGAAAAGGGGTTATGAAGGATTCAGAAATTTTCAGGAATACGCCAGACAACAAACTGGAACCCAGATTCTTAACAGTATTGACAGATACTTGCCAGGATTCGGTTGGTCTGAGGCCAGTTTATAGGGTGTGCAAAGACTGGTTCGAATGAAAAAGAGCGCTGGATCATCCTTAGCGTCAACAATGCTAACAGAGCTGGTTTTCCTGGCTTTTCCTTACATTGTGAAGGCTATAAATGACACAGCTCTATTTGATTGTAAGCACTATTCGTACATATTGCTTCCATATTACATCTGGAAGAGGAAATGCGATTATGCCAATTCCAGAGTAAGGAATTCTATCTCATGCTTAGTTAAAATGATTGAAGGCGCCGAAATATCATTAATAACTGCATTCATGCTTAAGGATTCTATAATTTCTCTGCCAAATCTGTTACTGTGCCCTCCCGAAATCCTCGTTTAATCGTAACTCGAAACTTGAAACACAGCCACTGCACGTGCAGGACTAAATGACAATCTGTTGTTGCAAGAAGATGTGTCCGTTCTCCTTCTGTCTTAAGTGCGTTTATCTTTCTGGCGTCTTTGATAGCTGCTCCTTTTGCTATGTCCGTGCTCACGCGATAGATTTCATATTATCCTATTTTTGCGGACTGCACACAATGAACGTTTTGCAGCAGCTGCACATGGGCGCCGCCATAACTGACCTTCAGTTTTTGTTTCCTCTTATTCCGCTTACTTCCCTTCATCATCGCCACAGCAGGGCAGGGTTATTGCCATTTAAGATTCTACTGTGTCCTCCTCCCCAGGATTGACCTTTGGGGAGGCTCGTCAACGCCCGCTTCAGTGACTCGGCATCTGGTATAAGACAAGAGAAGGTCAGCAATGGCGGCTGTAGTCTGGTACGTGTGCAAAGCGTCTATAGGATTAATTCAGATGACGCATACGTACGCGACACAATATATTATAATTTCGTCACATGCTGAAGTGAAAATATCTTTATTCTATTTTTTGTCATCAATTGATACGCCGAGTGAGAAGTTGTCTGAAGTTCGGTGTCACATGTGAACTAATTGTGCAGTCCCAAAATGATATATGTAAAATTCTCTATCCCGGCCCCTGCTGCTTTGCGTTGGTGTGCTTTTGAACTTGCTCGCTTCATTTGTGACTCAAAATATTCGCGCAAAAACTATCGAAAACAAAACAAAATAGAATGTCTTTTTTTTTTTCAGTTTAATGAAAAAGTTTAGTAAAAAAAGAGATGTAAATGTTGAAGGTTTCTCAATGGCTTTATGGGCAACGGTAGATGACTTGTAAAATATATGATAGGGAATTTTATTTCCCTTCGCAATTTTCTAATGTCGGTTTTTTATTTAAAAATTGTACCTTTCTTTACTGCACGAGAGTTCTTTCTGTTCCTCGCTTTCATTTCGGTTAATGAAGAGTCAAATCCCAGCACTATTAGCAACGTATTATGTTGTTGTCGTTTGGCCTCGAGCCTTTCAGAGAGCAGATCGCTAGAAGGATAGCAGTATTGATACGACAATAAATAACCTAAAAATGACGTTAAACAGCCAATCAATCAGGAATAGAGCATTTGCAATATTCCCAAGCGCCCCAGCCCGCACTCGAGAAATCATAAGAAGGGTGTTTCTTCAGCTCCACGGTTACACACGTTTTAAACGTAATTCGGAGTCACCATGAACATTGCATGCAAGCGCCTGATATACCCCAAGGACCTGTTATATATATTTTACAATTTTTTTATCAATGTCAGCATTTTTGATACATCCAACTTTCAACCTGGCCTGAGCTGCAGAAATCTCTTACAATATTACCATTCTCGTGATTGTTGTTTTAGCAGGAATTGCTTACAAAGCCGAGAATTCACAACAACAAAAATCAGAATTTAGCTTGGAGTACGCGGGGCTCTTTATAGCATTTTTAGCGTTTCTAACTTAATATAAGCGTCTTTGAAGCTGTACGAGAATGATAATAATGTAAGAGATTTCTGCAGCCAATCCAAAATTGAAGGGTGGACAGCATGAACAGTATCAAAAACGCTGACATTAAGGAGAAATTTTAAAAGCGATATCACAGGTCATTGGAATTAATCAGGTGCTTGTTCAGGTTGACTTCGAATTACGCTCAAAAGTTGTATAACCAAGGATAGGGTTGAAATTACCAAGCACTAAAAAGCTGAAGGAACACCGTTCCCGTGATTCTTCAGCGCAGGCCGGGGCGCTTGGGGGAAATAGTTAACGCTCTATTGTTTGATCCATTCCGATTTACTTCTACAAGACTTGGCCGCAGCCTACAACTGTAGCTCAATCACGTGTTTTGTATTATAACAATAAATCTCACAACGTGGGTTTCTTCCATCCTTTAGTATGGAAGCAACCCACGTTGTGAGATTTCTTTTTAAAAATATATTTGCCAAAAGGTGTTTGTTGTCGAACCCCTGTGATATATTGGCAACCATGGTAATTGATTTCGGTTTTGATTCGCGGTTTCGATTGTCGACAATCAAAATAAAAGTTTTGTTTTGGCTACTGCTACTAAACAAAATTCGCTATTTAACGGTTTTCGCTCGTGCTCTACGGAGCTTTGCTGTTTCACGTAATTCCTTTCTTTGCATAGATTATTGGTATATTTCTTTCAGTCAAAACTACTAAGCACGCGTCTCTTACTTAATTGAACCTCTTTATATTACCCAAGTGCTTTGTTAATTTCATCTTAGATAAAGCTAGCAGTTAAGCCTTGGTTACGTACCCCGAAATATGTATTGTAATTTATTATCTTACTTCGTACGTTTTATCTGGTGATGGTAAGCGTCTGTGCGTACATTTAGTTTATATTATCATCTTGTCGAATTATTAACAACAATTGTGAGTACTTTTTTGGATTTTATTGCCTTTATAAGTACAATTCGAATATTAAAGGAGAACGTGCAATGTTTGAATTTTACAGCTTCTTCATTGCTATTCTTTGCCGCGGTATGGTACAAGAGACAACAGGGGCTGTGTGCGGAGCCAGTTGACAAACTAATTAAGTTAATACACTGTAATCACTGTTCAAAAATGTAATATCAAGGCTATATGAAAAAAAAAACAGGCGGTGTATTGAAATTACAGAGAAGATGCAAGCAAGCCGGTGAACTTTCAGCATTGTAAAACCCGAGACGTAGGACAAAAGGAGAAGAACCTGTGTCTGTGTTCTCCCCTTTTTTCTTCTCCTTTTGTCCTACGTCTTGCGTTTTACAACGGTGTATTAGTTGTCGTGCTACCGCCAACGAGACTTCACTAAGAGGGTAATCAGTACAGAACCAGGCTACAGAAGTGGTACACCTTTATTTATTACAATAATTGACAATGAAGGCCTAACTAGCGTCTGTTGACACGCCCGAAGAATAATATCTGAAACCCGTCATCTTTCGCGCCTCCACCAAGGGATTCAGTTCGCCCTTTCATCTGCCGTCCGCATGTGCTAAAGTACTCAGGTATATCTAGCGCCAATATCATATTGAAACATATGTGTTAGAGTAAGGTTCCTGATCATGGCTTCCAATCACGACCACAGGCGATCAACAGAACACCGTCATCTGCAGTTGAAAAGCGTGCACACAGAGCAACGACGCTCACAACAGTGTCGGCTGCTGCGAATCTGTCGCGGTGACCGCGGTGTTGCACGCCCTAGCGCCGCCACGCGGCCGTCTTCCAGCGCGAGTCCGCTCCTCCAGCTTCGTTCGTTACACTACCCCTTTAAGCGACTGTACTAGAGTATGTTATCAAGCGGTGGCAAACAGGTGTGGGAGCTAACTTTTAAAAATGGTCTATTCTGATAGTCACTTTAAGAATCTTCATTTTAAGAATTTCCTGCAACCGGAAAAATAGGAGAGGGACCTCAAATCTACTGATATCTCTCGGTGAGAATAAAGAGAAACCTACGAGAGTCAAAGAAGGGGGTCGCGCTTACCTTCGTAGAAAAGACCGGCATCGACGAGTGCTTCCACATTGGAGAAGGCGTGACGGGGCCAGTTGACAAAAGATGCTCTTCTTTTCTCCCTGAGGCTGTAACCTGGGTGAGTCGGACCTCGACTGCTTTGTCCCGTCGGTACGGAACTACCGCTCGCACTGGGAAGTTGAATAGCCCGTGATGTACTGCCTTCGTCGCTCGATAAAGATGTCAAAGAAGCCCCTTCGTCTTCCGACGATGCTGATGATAAGGATGATGGGGGTGATTGGTCAGACTCAAATCCAGTTGAGCCTGGGTCAGTGACGTCTTCTGGTCGAGGCAGATTTAGCTGCTTCAACAGGCTGAGGGTGTGCAGGGAGGTGGTAGGTCCTAGAGAGAACAACATGTGCGCACGTCAAACTCCTGCCTGTTGACAGAAATATGCCAGCATTACTGGCAGATTCGAGCTGTCAATAGTGCTGTTTCTGTAAGGCGCATCGACAGAGAACCTTTGCGAATGACCGTTTAAGTTGGGCATCGCCATCAAGGTCGTATTCAGTATCGGTGTTCACTGGCGGTCATCTTTGTGGAGCGTGAGTGATCCTCTTAATCTCTATTACAGGTGATCACCCGGGCGTCACGCATCGTCTGCGCTCCTTTACTTTAGGGTAAATCGATATTTACTTTTCTTTTGTTCTGAAGAACCGCCGAGGTTCATATACGCTTATTAGTACAATATATATATATATATATATATATATATATATATATATATATATATATATATATATATAGGTGAGGCAGAGTAGCTTGGGAACAGTGGACCGGGAAAATGTAATAAGTCAGAGATCCGTACTTGCGGAGTTGCTATGCTAGGAGTTTATTGCATGTATTTCGACAGTTTCGCCGAGAGGCTCGGCTTCGTCAGGAGATGGCATACATGTGAGGGCATCAGACTGTGCAAAGCAGTAAGGGGCCAATGGGGCGAGGAGGACGTGACGTCACGAAAAAAAAAAAAAGGTTGTATTTGAGCGCGTTCCCACGTTAGGGCGGCGGGTTTCAAAGCTAAGGAGGCGTATATGAAATCTCCGACACTGCGGTGGGTACAATAGGTCATAAACGGACGGCACTGGCTCTGGAACGACATCTTCGGTACTAATTGTCCGTAAGGCTAAGCCGATGTGGGCGTCCGTCTCCGCGACGGTCACCCCTCGTCCCCTCGGGCGCCGCACGCCGCGGAAGAGAGGGGAGAGGTGAGCAAGGAGCAGATCGCGGGGCAGGGGGGCGCAGGGGAGGGTGGGGCGAATACCCCCGGATAGTTGCAAAGCCGTCGTCGTACCGGACAGAGAATTAAAAATACAAATTTAAAAGATAAAACATTAAAGTAAAACTTCAATTTCAAGGAGCAGATCGCGGGGCAGGGGGGCGCAGGGGAGGGTGGGGCGAATACCCCCGGATAGTTGCAAAGCCGTCGTCGTACCGGACAGAGAATTAAAAATACAAATTTAAAAGATAAAACATTAAAGTAAAACTTCAATTTATTTGAAGTTTTACTTTAATGTTTTATCTTTTAAATTTGTATTTTTAATTCTCTGTCCGGTACGACGACGGCTTTGCAACTATCCGGGGGTATTCGCCCCACCCTCCCCTGCGCCCCCCTGCCCCGCGATCTGCTCCTTGCTCACCTCTCCCCTCTCTTCCGCGGCGTGCGGCGCCCGAGGGGACGAGGGGTGACCGTCGCGGAGACGGACGCCCACATCGGCTTAGCCTTACGGACAATTAGTACCGAAGATGTCGTTCCAGAGCCAGTGCCGTCCGTTTATGACCTATTGTACCCACCGCAGTGTCGGAGATTTCATATACGCCTCCTTAGCTTTGAAACCCGCCGCCCTAACGTGGGAACGCGCTCAAATACAACCTTTTTTTTTTTTTCGTGACGTCACGTCCTCCTCGCCCCATTGGCCCCTTACTGCTTTGCACAGTCTGATGCCCTCACATGTATGCCATCTCCTGACGAAGCCGAGCCTCTTGGCGAAACTGTCGAAATACATGCAATAAACTCCTAGCATAGCAACTCCGCAAGTACGGATCTCTGACTTATATATATATATATATATATATATATATATATATATATATATATATATATATATATATATATATATATATATATATATATATATATACCGCTTGTTTTAATTAAAAATGGCAATTGAAAAAAAAGTCTCAAAGTGATGCAAAAGTATTTTCGCTCAAACAAACACAAACTGGTAGTATAGCCAGCAGATTTTGAGGGATAAGATGAGAAACTTTTTCATTATGTCTTGTTAATGCCGCTCTTGCCTTAGGGCATCAGCAGCCGAAATCTTGAGAGTTTACGTGAAAAATAAATGAAGCATGTCGCACGTCCCCAGCGAACGAATGAGGATTATTTTTGCCCACCTGAATCTTGTGCCACACAACTGAAAGTTTATTTACCCAGCGCTTTCACCGCGATAAGTGAAGGTAGCGAATCATTCTAGTCTTTTGCAGGTCAATAAATGCAGGAAAGGCTCCTTTCACAAAGCCCTCCACTCGCTTTCACTTTTGCAGAGCGAACGCTGTAGAGGAAGAACTTATCATTCATGACGTGCAGAGAGCTTTGTTGAAGGCGTTTTCTTGCTATATTTGCGAGGTAACAAACTTTATTTTTCACGATCCTAAAATCACATTTCGAAAAAGGGCCTTTATGGTCGGGGGCAATTCAGTTCAAGACACTCCGCGTGCGTGGCGTGTGTTCTGAACCCAAAGGCAGGCGCTGATTCGCCGATTGCAAAATGGCAACTGTCAAAGCAACCACGAAAAGATTTTTCCGCTTTCGCAAAATAATACTTAGAATTCCTTTCTCACGTTAATAACTGAATAAACTTGCCTTAGTCTTTCCTTCTAGGCAATGGCAGTCACCAAAAAAAAATATTCGCGAAATGTGAGTACCGTTTATCCCCTCAACTCGGAGAACTAGCGCGCGAGCGTAAAAAGTTTGCGTTGTACGAAAATTGGAAAATATAGCAGCTATTTCGTACCTCTTTTCCTTACAAAGCTCTCCGCCTTTTCACTCTAATATATCCGCGGCGCCCAAGCACATCAGCCGAACGTAGCTCACACATTGTACACGAACACTGCGTAACTCAGAGTTATGCGCTCGTCATCAATCAATAGACCATTTTCAAAAGTCAGAGTCCTCTTGTGGCAGTATAAAAAGCTCCATTATTGCCGCTCTAATGGCGGTGATAGGAGATCATGCGCGGCTAAATCAAACACCCTCGATTCCGTGCATCGAAGGTGACGTGAAAGGACCAACATCTTTTCCTTTTTCTGCTCTATGCTTTCGAAGACGTTCGATTTTTCTGGTGTGGAGAAACAGTGTAGTTCCGCCATTAGAGCGTCGGGTCTGGCTCTGCACAAGGTGGGTAGACTGACTTTCGTAAAGGGTCTATTGGTTGACGAATATTTTAATTCGCGTTAGTGGCCAATGAGTGCCGCGACGGACCTTATCATCACTTTAGAATGACAAGTTCCATGGTGCGCTTAAAAAGCACGGCGGAAGCTTGGAGTCAATCAATCGAATTTTTTATCAACATAGCACGGATGTTGGGGGCGCAGACAAAAAGCCTATAAAAGGCTTGACTAAGGGTCTGCGCCCCCAACAAAAACTTGGCATTGCAACAGGGGCACGTCATAACAAATCACATTGGAGGTGAGCCTGAATTTCGTGAACAGAACACTGTAAGAGCGGTATAGCAACAGAAAAAAAGAACATACTGTGACTTGCAAATGCTAATCAACATTTAGATTATTCAATAAAGCATCTGACGACCGTAACTTGTACGTGTTTGTGGAATAATCCAGTGACAAGTGGAACGTTTATCGTGTATGTGTACCCTACGTTGTAGATGTGATAAATTTAAAAATGCCGTGTTATGTTGCCTAATGCTCATATTGTACCGTTTTAGTAAAATATTGTTAAATAATTGAAATATTGGGAGTATTTTGTGTGTTTCCAAAACATAATTTGTATGGGCATCATATGGTATGTTTGCTATGATTCTAATTGCTCGTTCTTGGATTACATGCAATTTGTTTATGTTGGAGAAAGTCGTTGTCCCCCCAACAAAAAAACAATAAGAAATTACAGAGAAAAATAATGAGTTGTAGAAAAGTTTCTTAATACATTCAGGCATATAATAACGTAATTTAGATAGTACACCTACAATTTTGGAGATTTTTTCGGCAGACATATCAATATGCTGATTCCATGTGGGCTCTTCAAATAACACTCCTAGGAGTTTTACCACTGAAACAATTTGAATGGATTCTGAGCCAAGCATAAGGTCAAGAGTGGGAACACAAGGCTATTTATTTCGGGGTCTGAAGAGTACTGCATGAGATTTGCTTGTGTTTATGGTTAATGAATTTGAAATGTTTCCTAGTTTTGAAGCAAGCTCAAACTGTGGGAAGCTTGTTCTTCGAGGTCCGACACTTGTGCGGCACTAAAGAATAAACTGGTGTCGTCGGCGTAAATAACGAATGTTTGGTTAGAATCAATAAAAACAATGTCGTTGATGTAAAGATTAAATAGTAAAGGTCTTAATATGCTACCTTGAGGAACACCGCCAGAAATGGGTTTGAGGTCTGATAATTCGTTATTTATTACAACTTGCTGACAGCGAAAATCTAGATATGATTTGATTATTTGTAGAAATGTACCACGAAAACCCTAGGAATCAAGTTTTAAAAGCAGTGTTTTGTGATTTATAGAGTCAAATGCTTTCGAAAAGTCTATGAACACACCAAGTGTAATTTCTCTTTTTTCAAAAGATCCCAAAATTGGCTCTTTTTGAGTGAGAAGGGCGGTCTCTGTTAAACGAAACTTTCGAAAACCGTGTTGGCAGGGTGTCAATAGGGAGTTTTAGCGAGTCGTTTTTCAAGCACACGGTTCCGAAATCACGAACGGTACAGCTGGTCCGTGCCGTGAAACCGTACGTCAAATTTGACATACTTTAGCGAATCGTGAAAGTGGTGCGACCGTGTAAACGATGATGATGATGATGCTTAACGGTGGCGCCATTTTCTTGTAAACATGTGAAACATTCTGCAACGTGTAAATCAGTGGCGACGGTGGCGGACTCCGTGGTGGCGGTTCGTGTTTCCGGCGTACGACTGATGTAAACAAGACGGCCAACGTAACATTTGCCGGTCGGAATTTCAAGAACTGCGAAGCTAGATAGAGTAAAAAGTGTCTGAACGACCGTAAAGGTATGTGGTGTGTCTCCGTCATCTTCAACTTGAACGATCGTTCACGTCGTGTGCCGTCGAACCAAATCATTTCGTCTGCTTGCGGTCGCCACGGC